GTCCCTAGATGCCCTCTCTGTCTGCATTTAAAGCACAGAGGATTGGCCTTGCTGGACACGGTGATTCTGATGACTTTGCTTTCGTGTGAGAAGAACCACTCCTCAGGGGTGTATGGCGTAGGACTGTTCCCGATGTCAAGCACCACCGTCATTTGGTTGAGGTGAGGGGTAAGAAAGTCTGGGGTCGCGACAATCCAGTGAGACTCTTGGAAATGCCCATATTCCATCCTCACTCTTTCTTTGACGCTGCCGTGCATTCCTTCCGGAACATTGTCGAATTGAATCCAAAAGTGTTTCTTGAGCAGGTCTTGTCTGTATCTGAATGGCGTTTGTTGGTAGCTTGTGGCCTGTTTCCAGGGGTGGACTGTGACGACCGATGAGTTGCAAGTGAAGCATTTGTTCTTCAGGAATGACGCGAGGGCCTCTTCCCTGCATAGCACCATGATTACGTTCCTTGACCTTGGGTGGAATGAGACTTTGGGATCAGTCCCCTGGATTGGTTCCAGGCTCTTCAGTTTTTCCCATATCCACTTCAATTTTGATTGTCTGTCAAGGTCCTGGCTCTTCTTCGCGAATGTGAATAGGACTGCGTGTTTTTTGTGAAGCTCTTCCTGCTTGGATGTGAGTTCTTTGGGACATTCGTAGATTACAACTTCCTCTTTGTTGCTACCTCCTTGGTCAATGAGCTTAGTTGTTTTGATAAGAGGTATCCTTGTTTGTTCTGCGAGCCAATTTTGGGTTTCAATTCCCATACCCTCCATCTTGAGGCGGGTCCCTCATCTGGTACTGTAGAAAGGAGCGGGGACGTCCCGTGCTCGTATGGGTTGTGTACTGGTGGCGCAGGCCGGTGGGTGATACTGAGGCGTCGGATTGTGGGTACTAACCGAGCGGACGAGGGGTTGGGGAGGCAGCGAAGAGAAGAGTAAGTGTTGAATGAAGGCTAATGGTGGAAATGATGATTGCAGGGAAATGGTGATAATGAGTCGAAGTGGAGATAGCAATAATAATGATAATGATAAAAGGTGAATGGTGAAAATGAGTTTTTAAAGAAATAACATCGTTAATGCGTGTTGATCATGATGGATAATAGTTTCTGAATGTTAGGTTGTTGGTGGCGATCTCCCTACAAAGCTTCGTCGGCGCTTTGCCCAGTCGGACTTGGACGGCAAAAAACGAGGAGGAGGGACGGGGATGAGTGTCGTGTACAGTACGGGGA